TTCTTCCTAGTTTTAGTTTTACTACTAATAATCATTAACTGCTAATTAATTATTAACTTTATATTAATAAATAGTCCAAGAGTGATAAGAATGGTTCAAATTCCAAGTGTGAAAAGCAATTGCACCTTTTCTGTCAATATTTGTCCCTCTGGTAACTAACAGTGGCCACAGGGGTCTCCTGACCCATTTGTCTCCCCCCCTCCCTGAATTAAAACTCACTACTCTCTCTTTTTTATCCATCTATCTATACCTTCTTTCCTCTACTCTGCCAAATATTTTACATAGACTGTGTTTGGGCGCTTTGGCTCTCCAAACAGAAAAATAAAAATGAGGAAACCCTAACTCCTTCCCTTATTGTTGCGGGCATAACACAATGGACGGTGATATGAGGCAGCCCATGGACTGGAACCCAATTTCTGGCGGAGGTTTCCAAGACCCACTCACCCCACAACTTTATGGGCTCGCCCATAGAGTAGAAGTTGACATAAGCGAGCCACTAATCAATGTTACATTTGTATACAGGCGACGCCAGAAGGACTACGTGGGCCTCCACCAAGAAATATCATACGACATTCATCCAATCATAAAACACCACGTCAGTCACATAGCGAACTCCACGTCTACCTATATAATTTGATTGCCCCAGTATAATAAGATGGGTTCAAGCTAAGCAAGAAGTTATAAATTCCCCATTCTTTTTTTTTTTTTTTTTTTGTAGGGCACCGATATCAATATACTATTTATTTATGAGTTGATAATAGAATGTCATTCTCTCTCATCTTCTCCTCCTCTAATCAATAGTTCTGGTTCACACTCCATATTCAATGAAAGCTATTTTCACCATGTCGGCATAGTCCCCTAAGAAATCAGGACACGTTGCTTTCAAGTGGATTCATGATCAATGTATTGCCTCCAATAATCTACCACCAATCATGTGCCACGTGTGCGCAAAACCTGCCGAACTAATCCATCATCAACCGTACTTTTGGTTTCTTAGGCTTGGATTTATCTAATCAAAAGTAGGTTTTAGCTACAATAAGTAGGGCACTCAATGATCCTCATATTTGCGGCTTGCCCGTGCATTGGTTGACTTTGAGAATGCTCTGTAATCTGTACTCTACCAACTTAATTAAATTAAATGCTGCTTCCCTCATAGATATAATACTTTTTTCTAGTTTCTCCTTCTTTTTGCTTTTTGTGCTTTCTTTTTATCTATTTAAATATCGATTTAGCATATTTTTATGCTCAAATTAAACGTTTAGACGGATTTTTCGTTTTTTTTTTTGCAAGTTTCATTTTTTTTAGTATAAATCTTTTTCAAGAATAGAATAACATCATATTATTAATCAGCATTTATACGTTACTCTATTTTCTTTGGAAAGCGGGATTCGAAGCCGCATCTTTCACCGCCACAAACCATTAAATGTACCGAGTTATTCCTTAAGTTTGGAAGGAGTATAAATACGAATATATACAATATAAATACAAAGACAAAATAGTTCAAAATATAAGGTTTTGCATTGTATATATCTATATTCTTTCTAAACTGAGCCCTAGGCTCAAGAAGTATAAATTGTAAAACTTTATATTTTATATACATTCATACTGTACGTATTTGTATTTCCAAACAGAGCCTTAATTGCAAGATTAGTTTGGTACTTCAGCCGAATCTTGAATCTCTTTATCTTGGGACAGTTACAGTTAGGGCTACCCTCTATATTTAGAGGATAAGAGGATCGCTGATAATATTAGAGGATTCTTGAGTGTCTAGTGCATGGTTGGTTGGCGATTTTTTTTTTTTTTTAATTTCATGCTTCATGGGACTACCACCATCCCCTCCCTTAACCCACAAATCCTAGTGGCAACGGGATTTGATCCCAGACGAAACAGATATCCTACCAACTGAACCACCATTATTTGGTGGCGATGATGTGTTTTAAAAACCAATTTGGAGGTTGAACCATTTTTGCCTCTAGGTTGTAGGTCACTGGTTCAACTGTTCAGGTCGAACAGTTCAAATCATGCCACATTATCGTGTCTGTATATATATGCACTTAACCGGTAAGATCGAACAGTTCTTGACTAAGTCAACGGTTTTAACCATCTGATAGGTCTTGACTGAATTGAACCCTAAATTCTAATCCAGCAATTTGAACGATTCAACTGGCCAAATCAATAACGGATTAAAAACATTGGTTTTTACTTTTTAGAACCCACAGTCGCTTTCTCTTTTTACTCTTCTTTTGGACTTTGGGTGGTATGGTAAAGTTTAGTAAATCGGCTTATCATTTGATTTTTTTTTCTTCAAAACCAAGACCACATGTTCCCAATAACCCACGTCTTAGCTAGGTTTAACAAGGCTTACTACACCGAAATGGTTGGTTGGTTTGTTGGTTGCCAAGGGCCTAAGGAATACTACACTGAAGGGAGATAGCATCTGCACCCCACAAAACATGCCCCACGAGCATCCCACAACATGTTTTCAAATCCGGACCGGACCACGGGCAGTGTCAGACCAGAAAAATCGGGAACTGGTCAGGTTATCGTTTTTGGTTTTTCTCAAAACTGGAAATTTATCCAAAACCATTGAATTTGGTTAGCAAACTGTTGACCCGGGTGGTTAACCGTTTGAATATGATTGTTTTTTTCTCACTCAACCGGTTGAACCCGCCCATTAAGTTGGTGGGTTGGAAATTGATTGATTACCCATTGGGTCAATTTAAATGAGTTGGGTTATGGATAATCATTGGGTTCATCATTAATTGTATAATTGTGAATTTTTTAGTCATTTTCTTTACTTGAGTGAAATAATTTATAATTAATGCATTAATTTTTTTATTGATTATTAACTAAAATTAGTTTTTTCTCGAATAAACATATTTCACTCAAATTGACATAAATCCAAATCAACCCAACTCGAGTCCGAACCGGTATGGCTCAATTCAGCCTGATTCGAATTTAAATAGACCTGATCACCTCAGTTTGATCCGTTCGAATCATTAAGTCCAGCCCGAACCCAGTCCAATCCGGGTCGATCTGATCTGAGCTAAATCGAATACATGACCGGGACCTCGTTGTCCCAATTCGGGCTGGCCAGCTAGCCCGAGTCCTACATCACCCCATGTAGGCTGGTCCAACCTGACCTGAATTCAGAACGATTTGACCCAACCCCCAAACCTGGACCAACATGGGCCGGTTTCCTTGACCCAATTTGGACCGATTGACTCCATCCAGGACCCTGTGCAACCCAATATAAATTGGACCAATCTGGACTGCCCACCTTGATCTGGTTCGAATCGACCATCTTAGTCCTGAACCTTTACACAACCCAATGTGGACCAGTCCAAGTCAACTCGTCATATGCTGAATTGGTCCGATTTGGTCCAACCAGACCGATCCAAATCCAAACAGTTCAATCACTCTTGATGTGATTAGCTCGAAAATAAATCCAATTGTTAAAGTTGGTCTGACTGATTTTAACCCAAGTGGTTTAGTCAAACTTGAAACCCAAACATAGTCAAATGGTTTCAAGTGATTAATTGCAATTTATTCTCATTGTAAAAATAATATGCATGCAATGTAATTTAAACATTCACCACTTGTGTAAAAAAATAGCTTTCATGACCAACTTATTTGATAAAAAGAAATTAATTTTTACTTTTTGAGTATATAAACCTAAAATTAATGGATTTAAACGGGTTAAATTGGTTCAAACTGAATTTAGGTTGAACCCAACCTTCCCAATTGTCACCGCTGAGTTCACATCTCCACCCCACAAGGGGCCGCCCCACAACGACCCACAGCACATCCCACCGTGTATTGAGAACATCTCTTGATGATGACACCATCAAGATTAGTACTATCATCGGAAGATGTTCCCAATACATAGCGAGAATGTGCTGTGGAACGGCCCCTTGTGGGGCGGAGATGTGATCTCGCCACCGCTACCCGCATCAGATGGCTGAAATTTTTAGACATGTACTTGTTTAGGTGAGACCCATCACCTATTTAATGTTGGATCCAGATCATCTACACATGGTGAGCCCTCACCTGCAGCTATGATGAGGGCATATATATGGAAATCACATGATTTTGCTGATCCAACATGTTTGTTCTTGGCTTCTTGCATCACACCTTGGGAAATATCAGTATACCCCGTCTTATATTAGAGAGATGATCTGAAGTTCTGAACCAACCAAATCATTCAAATAGGTCTTGTCAAACCATCATTTGTCTAGAAATACAACTTCTAGAGGATGTAACTTTTTCACAACTAATTCTAGTCTTAATCATTTTTTATCAAATATATGATTTGGTTGTTTTGGTTATGGTTATTGCTCATTTAAGGGCCCATAACTAAAAAAGGACATGGTGTGAACACTGAACGGAAAGAAGTGGGCACCGGCCCCGTGTAGTTGAGATAGGGCTTAGATGATGATGACTTGATTATGCTGGTATAAACATTCGGTTATTTCTTATGTATATGGTGGGACTCTCTTTAGTTCCATGCTAGTAGGGACTAGGGCGTATGGCAGCTAAAGAACACACCTCAATTACATTTTAATTAAGGGCCCCAAGTAAAAGTTAAATCAACAGAGAGAGAGAAAGAGACATCCCCTACAAGTATAAAAGTATAAACAAACCAATAAGCATTCAAATGAGAGTTAAGATCTGCGCCCCCTTGTGGGGCGCCCCACAACATCCCACAGCACATCCCCGCCATGTATTGAGAACATCTCCCGATGATGACATCATCGATTCTGGTCTATCATCGGGAGATGTTATCAATACATGGCAGGGATGTACTGTGGGACGTTGTGGGAAGCAGATGTGAACTCTTCAAATGAGGCCTACATCTGCCATTTTCTTTACTAATGACTCATTTGAGTCTTTCAGTTGCACAATTCCATCTTCCAAGTGAATGAAACAAGTAACAACTCTAGTAAAATGTATGCTTCATGGCGGGAAAGAATTCATGTAGCCAACCCAAAATGCTTGGGTTTTAAGTTTAACTGAGTTGAGAATCATGGAATTGATATAGGTGATACGGATTTTAACAATAATGTCAAATTAATAACAAAAACCTGGCCCACCAGTACTGCCTTTATTTTGATGATGGCTATTTTAACTACCTTTCTCCTATCTTGTTGTTGGACATACAAATTACAGACTACGGAACTGGAACAAACACGGCCAACAACCTCTCTTCAATGCATAGCACTTGACTTAAAAGTTAAAACTAACCTTTCCACATTTCCAGTAACAATTAACGAGCCATGGCAGGATTAATGGAGTTGATGTAACGATTGCTAACTGGGATCTTATAACCATGTATATTTTACAGCACCACCCAGATACAAGGGAGCATCTTCAGCCACGTAATTAAACATTTACTGTTCATCCATGTGTTTGTGGGATCGGAGCCCAGTTCACTAAACCTCCCATACAGCAATTTGGGATCCTAGCAGACTAAATCCCATGTTTTTTCCATCTGGTAATCAGTAACACTGGTTGAAACAGAAGAAGAAACTCCTTGGTTTGTCTTCCATCTTGGCTTTTGGGGTCTCCCCCAAGTCATCTCGCACAGCCATCAATGAGCTTGTACCTGGGGATTCTGGAGGCAGAACTTCATTTTTGGAAGTAAAAATAGGAGATGGAATCATGCGTTCTGGTGGTGAAAGGGTTGATAGATAATGTAGGAGCATCTGCACAATTTGGCTGAAGTTGGGCCTGGCATTTGGGTCCTCCTTCCAGCATGAAGCTAGAATTAAAGCCAAATCGTCAGGGAGGTTTTCTAAACTTGGCCTCACATTCTGAAAAGGCAAAACAATGCTCTTAATCATCAATCACAGAAATACTCAGGCCAAATAAATGTTGGAGGATAGCACAAAGCCACATTACGTGCATACAATGCATGGGGCAGAGCCAAGATTCTTCATTTAAGGGTGGAAGGGGACCCTATCACCCCAACATGTATCAAGGGTTTTTTTAAAACTAATTGGCAACCCGCCCAAGCAATACATGAGGCCAGAACTTGACCCAATTCACCCTCAAATGTATTGGATTTATTAGGTCATCAATGATTAGGATCAACCCTACCATCAGTCAATTTTGGATATCCTAGTGGACCTCTTGACAAGACTCCTGCATTGTATTCTCAGGATTCATGCAGCTATTTGTCTGTCTGAGTATCAGTCTCAAATAAAATAACCAAATGAATAGAAATAGACGTACTTTAAAAGCAGCTGCATAGGCTGCCTGTAGGTTTGACATGCCTTCGAACGGCAATCGGTTGTGTAAGAGTTCCCATAAAACAATTGCAAAGCTGTAGGCATCAACCTTGTGGTTGTAATGCTTCTTTTCCCCATGCCTCAATGTGACTGTACTGTACAACTGCACCAAATAAGCCAGAGTCACTTATGTTGTAAAATGGTCATTCAAAGAGAATATACACACACAAAAGAGGATTCAAATAATATATACCTCTGGGGCCATCCAACGGTATGTGCCTGTTTCAGCGGTCATCATCTCTGTTACTGACTCCTCTCTTGCTAAACCAAAGTCCACAAGTTTTACTGTTTTGTGGTCTTCAGTTAATATCAAGTTTTCTGGGGAATAATAAAATCCAATCATCATTATCTCCTAATGGCTGGCATTTCATTTTCATTTCTAAGGCTGGATAATGTAAAATCCATGAGAACATATTATCAAGTCATAACATAAAAGGATACATCTTAATGTACATAATATTCACAAGAATTAAATGTACATCAGGATACCTAACCAGCTAAAACAAAGTGTTAATTTGGCATGCTTAACCAGCGATAAATTATTGTAAAAATGATAAAAGAGACATTGTTGCAGAGGGAGACCTGTTGCCTTCAGAACTACCAGAGCACAACTTATCTTTGAGAATGCATTAAAAAAACACACTAATATAAGTATTCTATATAATGAACAAACTACAATTGGCAGGGTATATTAAGGGGAAAATGCACCAATGCTTGGTCCATGTCTTTATTTGTTCTTGAATGTTAAATCGTATTCAGGATATTTGGAAGAAAAATAAAGATGATTAATAAATTTAGGTACCTAAAGTTTCAGCATTCGAAAACTGATGAACAAGAAGGTTCACTGTATGTACTATTATTGTTCTTTTTCTGAATGTAATAAAGAGAAACCCACATGGCACAGAAGGAAATAAATCGACTACCACATCTTGATTTTCTTAGTTAAAGAAAGGGCCTGCATATGAAGTACTGAGAGCTGTGATAAGATGCACATTTTGGTCATAAGAATCTTAGACACCAACTCATCCAAAGCCATACTGATATTGTTCCTATATAACATAAGCAAGTCAAATGCAATTTGCTCTTGCATGTATGGTAAACCCCAATCAACTTGAACAAAATATAAATCATGACTCAACCGATGCAAAACCTGAAGCAGATACCACTTTTTATCATTTCCTAATTAAGTGTACCATTGTGCAGCAAAGGACTATCAAAAACAGGAACAAGTCCAATATTTTACCTAGATATAAACTTTGGTTGAAAGTGTTTGTATGTATGTGTATTGTCACTAGGTATCCAGGTCCACAGTGAAGCAAATTTAGTTGATAAACCATTGAGCACAGAAGAAAGAATAAACAATTAAAAATGCAATTCAGCCAATGCAATGCTAGGTATGAGTTGGATGAGCACTACTTCTTGTCCTGCATCCTACTGTGTCCCTAATTCACCTTAGATTTGAATGAGTCTGACACGACTAGAGGACACGATTTGTATCATATGATGTATTAAACCTTGGTGATGTGAAATTTCATATGTTTGGAATTTTTGCAATGCCATTAATTGTGATTTAACTTATATTCACTTGTGAGGCTTTTATTGCATAAAACAAAATTGAAAGAACATTTTCAAGTATTCAATCCACTTTAAACAGACATGCTTGAAATATTTTCAAGTATGTATGCTTCCTATGGAGAGATTCTTCATGAACAATCATGTGCCTTGGCAAATCATTCCATATATTAGTTAAGCCACATAACCTCTTCCACTTCAGAAAGATGAACTATCATAGGAAAAGAAGAGAAAGATCTTTTACGTGAAATAATCATGGGAGTATACAATTCTATGAAAGACAAATATTGGATGCATTCAATTCCTTTTCATTTCCCTTCTTTCTCTTTTCCTCATTTTTGTGGGGAATATTTTTATAAATATAAGTAAATTAAGGATCTAGTATTCACTTTATTCAAGCTGTCCTTAGGGCTTAGCCTCAGCACTAGCACCATTGGTAAAGGGAGCAGCATTGCCTCTTGTGTATAGCATTTTTTAAATTTTGAATGGACCTAAGCTTATTACCGGGTAACCCAATTTGCATCCCTACCCCTGTGACAAACAATGCTAACATAAATTTAAAAGCAATAAGTTACATAAACAGTCATAAATCAAGAAACTAAAAGTTGTGGTCTTAAGGAGGGATTTATCTTGAGCTCAATGAATTGGAGAATTGAATACTACTTTTGGGTGGAACCATAAGCCATTAGTGCTATGACTATGCATTATCAGTGATTAAAATAGGAAGAAAGGAGACCATATGGAAGTTCATTGGAGCAAGTTTCCCCACAAATATATTTCTTATGAAGCTCCACGGTGTAATAAGTTGAGAATGCAATTTCAATTTTGAATGTTCATCTATCCATTCTGAGCACCCCTACAGGAACTTAAGGCAATACAAAAGCTGCCCAAATTGGAGATATGACTATTGGAACAAGGGCATTACGGCCACTTTATACACTGAACTATATGAATTTAAACACATTTCTGATGTACACAACCTATTTCTCTTTTACATTGAAATTATCCCCATCTTGTGCAACAAATGTGCTAACTTAACAATCCTTACCAGATTACTTTCTACATTGGCTACAAAGGACAATAATTGGTCAAGCAAAGAAGAGTAGTTCTGGTCAAAAGTTTCAGAAGGTTAACTAAGAATCTGTATTTGAGCAATAAAACAGGTAACATCTTAAATAAAAAAGTTACACTGAATAAATCAATACAACCTAAATATTCTGAGAAACATGTTCATGAAGATTAATTAATTGAGATCTGGATATATGAAATTGGCATTTACATTCTTTGCAGAAGATCCAGCAATTATAATACCAACCAATTATCTTTGTAGAGTGTAAGTACACACCTTACAACAGTTCTCCATCTATATAGTAATGAATACAATTACACTCATACTATTTTCTTTCTTGTTGCAAATAGGTTTGAGATCATTTGCAAATATAGATGCAAAACTATGGCAATCCAGGTCCAGAAAAACCATAAAACATCCCCAACTAATGAAAGCAATATAGGTCCAGAAAAGTAGAGAACTACCAAGTTTCTATCCCTTATATTTGAGCTTTATACACACACACACACACACACACCAAAAAAATTTATTTGAGGGCATATGCACCCAAATAGATGATAAATGGAGGTTTAGGAATCAAAAAAAACTCAATGACTCCAATCTTGCCTTGCTTGTTAAATGGATGTGGAGATTTGGGGAGGAGAGTAATAGTTGGTGGAGGAGCCTGATTGCTTCCAAATATAGTGTGGAGAGAGCTAGGGGGTAGACAGAAAAGGACATGAATTGAAGTAGAAAGAAATGATTTAAGCACTCAATTTAACAATGGATATGGCACTCAACAGAACATAATGGTGAAAGAGGATTCATGTAGCCATGCCCATATAATTGGGACAAGATTTAGATGATGATGATGATGACTGGTAAAAGAAGATGATAGGATTACCAGGTTTTAAATCCCGGTGGATGATCCCATGTGAGTGCAAACACTCCATTGCTCGAGCGATATCAAGTGCAAAACCAATGGCAACACGCATGTCCAAACACCTAGGCCGCATGTTCAGCAAGTATTTTCGTAATGAACCACCCAACAAAAGCTCCGTTACCACTACCATGACAGGTTCCTTACATGCCCCGATAAACTGTCAATACATAACAAGAATAGTTGGTTAACATCCATGAGATGAAACTCAAGATATTCCTAACCCTCATTAACATCAATGAGATTCTAATACCACCTTTACTAAATTTTTGTGTTGAACTCTAGACAGCATTGCAACTTCTCTTGCGAATCTCGCCTCTCTCTTAGCAATCTCTTCTGGGGTTTCTCCTCTATGAACAATTTTAACAGCAACATTCTGGTTTTTATATCTAAGGAAAACCCAGTAGACTGATCAGTAAGATAACTAGAAAACAATTCTTCAAACAATCCATACATATTTACTTTGGGAACTCAATTGCAGGTTTCTGTAGGTTGAATAGGATTTATTAATGAATGTTGTTGTTCAGTATCCGAACCAGAATTGTTCAGAACACCAAATTCTGAATAGGCAGCAAAAAAAATGGAAAGGAAAATAAAATCCCATTGGGTGTTATGAATCTGAACATTTCTGTCCTTGGTAGAAATCCAAGAGCAAGAACAAATAACGATCTTTCAAATCTAAAAAGGTGCTTCTAATGAAAAGTAGAAATTGTCCATAAAACCAGAATTATGGTTTCCCAGACAACAAAATGAGAAACCGAACAGTTAGAGACCTTAAGTCACAAAACCCAAAGACCAAAATTCACCCAGAAAGGAACGGAACAAAGAGACCTTGCTGACTTACTTTCCTTCGAATACTTTGGCATGAGCTCCTTCTCCAATCCTCGGCCCAACAAAGAGATGTCTCGGATCGATCAGCCACTTGGCATCCAAACGGAACTCGTCGACTGAGTAGAACCCATTTCCAGATTCCATTTTTCTAATATAGGAAAGAATCTACCATCTATCTAGCAACGGAACTCTGTACTCATCGCCCATTTATGGTAAAAAAGAGATGAAAAACACAGTCTCCGAAAGGCCTTTCTACTTGGATAAGCTGACAGTCTGACATGAAACGGAGAACTATGAGAGACAATGCTCCGTTCTACTCTCACGACTGGGTTTCCCAACGCAATTTCGTCTCAAAGATTTAAGCCCGGGGATCAAACTAACAGATGCTTTTGTTCAGGAGGCAAAGAATATAAATCCACATATCTCAGAAAGATCACCCCAACAGCCCATCGATAAAAAATACAAAAATCTATCCGAAACCCGACGAGAAATTAGAACCATATAGAGAAATTTTTATTGGGAATAGAGCAAATCACCCTGAAATGGAACAGGAGAGGAGAGGGGAACCAATCAGTAGAAAATGAAGATCTTCATTAAATCTTACCAACCCAGATTGGAGTTTTATTTGATGGGTAGTGGGTCGAGCTTACTTAAATCTTCTTTGTGTGTATGCATAACCTCTCTCGATCTGCGGACAAAGCCATGGAAGGAATTGAGTCCCTGTCAACAAAAAGAAATAAAAAAATATGAAAGAAAGAGAGGGAAGTCTAGATACCCTCAGAAATACAATTTTTAACAGAAGAGACCGTGAGAAGCAAAAAAAAACCATTCAAGTGCACATGGAAAACTGATACTGAACATGGGGACAACAACCCCACTCAAAGAAATGCTCAGACAAGCTCCTACTTTCTCTACTCTTCTAATTTTCGCTCAAAAAAAAAACGGAAAACATTTTAAATTACAAACTGGTGATATCTAGTGCTTCACATTTCACGCTATAATTCTACGCGTGGAACCAGTGTAATCTGGATCTGACTGATGGGCTAAGGTTAGATGAGGACATGAGTGTCATCTTATGAACCATAATTACGCCGTGTAGTCGGGAATACCGTAGACGTGTTATAGATATCAAGGGGCGTGGGACCACTACCATCTGATCTCATGGATTCTACTGGTTGACAAACATGGTTTTGTGGTAGATGATGGGGCGGCCGGGAAACAAACAAAAGGTTCTGTGGTACTAGATGTAGAGTATCAGATGGTAGGTTTTGTTCCTGGTTAGCTACGACAAAGGCCCTATTCGGCTATTCCTGTTGTTTATTATAGCCTGTCTTTGTTTTACTGTGTGGATGGTGATTCCATAATACGAGGACAAAGAGTCAAGTCCCACTGTGTAGTGGGTCCCAACATAGAGCCCCCCCCCACCCCCAATCATGTCTTGATTGTCTTGTAGCTTATAGATCATCGATCTATCATGTGATCATGTCACCAGGAAAGGTCATTAGTTCTAATCCAAGGCTGGAAGAATTCATTCAATGATCTTTGATGAAGGAAAAGACCGGTGATTATCGCCAATATTAAAAAATATTATATAGATTGAAGGCTATTTCTACGATGCCGGATTCCATATTTATCATCTTCCTTGTTTTTTCTTTTTTCCCCATTTATTGTTTCTTTTATGTTTGACCCGGAAACATCGCCAAAAAAATCGAACCCATAAACGGGTGGTTTTTTTTTTTTTTGCTTCAGAATTCAAATAAAACGGGTGGTTTTGACGCCCTTAATTTGCACTTTATAAGTTTATATTTATATCTCTCTCTAACTCTTAAGGGTTCAACCGTTGAATTCAATAATTTTATGGTCTAGTATACATTGACTTAGAACCCTAGAGAGAGAAAGAGAATAATAAGCTCAACTCCCCGTGAACCGACGCAAGTTGGGGGTACCACTGCAGCAACTTCTTACAACACCGACTCTTAAGTTACTGATTAAGGAAGTCAAACATAAATCTTTATTTAACTTCTCCGTTAATCACCGTACTTAATATTTGTTTAATAATGAGGCTGAAAGAAATGGACCTAGAGCCCATGAAGAAGAAAGTGGGAGGAAGCATCCCCCCATGAACAAGAACCTGCAACATAAGGATCTCTCGAGCAATAAACATATATCAAATAGGACCTCATGGGCCATTGTGAAGGGGACATGTCGTGCGTGATGGGTGGGGCGCCTTTGCTCTCTCTATTTTTTTTTTTCTTGCTGCAAATAATTAAATATTTTGTGGGGTACGTATCGGTCGACATATATTAATAAAATTGTGCATTTAGCTAAGATTTTGGTTTCGGTGTCCCTTCGTATTTTATACTATTATTCAAATTTTAAAACCAAATAAATAGTGATGAACATAACAAAGTAGATCACACGCGTTCTTGTTCACATATTTTTATGCTCTTGTCTTGGTTATATAATTTATTTACAGCATTATTATTATTATTAGAAAGAGAAAACAACGAAGATTAAGGTACGGACAAAGGACCTAGAACCAGTACACATCCGAAGTGAACAGGTTGGGCTGGTGGGAGTACACAAAAAATAAATAAAAAGGAAATCTTCAACAAGCAAAAGAGATGATGCTTCTGCTTTTCTTTTTCAACTGCACGAGAGGGGCTTTCAAACATAAACTCTACCTGAAATGTCTATGAATTTCATTGTGTAAATAAGCAAGTTGTGAGATTTCTATTTCCTCTGAATTTTGGGTTTGGCCAGATTGCAAGATTTGAGTTCAATTCAAATCTTAGTAAGTAAATCAGGTCTGGCACTCGGGCTAAAAGCTCGCTCCATGCTTTTTAGCTATGAAAGCAATTCAAGCCCATTCCGGATGATGAGGATGATTGAGATTGTAACTATTAAGAGTGACGTGCCTCAAAACTTAGCCGACTCATGGTTCCATTGGGCTCCACATACGGATAGAGCAGTGATTATTATCGCCTGTTTGTACTGTAGACTGTAGCTTCTGTAGATAAGGTTTATCAGCTCCCTGTCGTACAAACGTACACACGTAAACAAAAGCGCCACGTACGTAACCCACCGTCGAATATTTAACAGCAAAAGGGTGTTTTTTATTTTTTTTTTTTAACAGCAAGTCAAATGAGACCATCCGTTCAACAAACCTTATTGAACAAATCAATTTGAGTCTATGTGGCCCATGGTTTTTAAAACCGGACCGGATCGAAAAACCGGGAACCCATTTTTCCTAAAAACCGGATTTTTTAAAAAAAAAAAAAAAAAACCATTGATTTTGATCAGTAAATCGCTGAATCGGGTGGTTAATGTTTGAATGGTTTTGATTATTTTTTTATTAAAACAGGTTAAATGTTCAGTTCAAATAATCGAACCGTTCGACCCGATTGTCGATTCAGTCTTCGATTGATTTTAAAAACCATGATGTAGACACAAACCTAAGGAATCTGGAGGAGGAAGTGAGGAAGGCGGGGGAGTCGGTGGGATTTTCTTCCCCCTCCAATTTTGACTCATTCTCAGGCTGCTGAGCGATAATGACTTGGTATTTGTTTGGTCTGGTAATTGAAATCTCAAATTCTCAATCTCTCTCTCTCTTTGGGAACATTTGGTATAGAAATAAACAGGATGAGTGTAATTCACGTGTAGAGAGAGAAAGAAGAAGAAGGTGGTTGGAACTGAATAATAAAAGGATAAGGGTGACAATTATATGAGGGCGGGACTGTTGCTGTGAGGGATGCCCCCAAAAAATGAAATAGAGTCTTGTAAGATAAGATAAACCAGGAATCATAACTTCTTCTGACACCAACCAACACACACACTTGTATTGTATTGCACATAAATCTCATGGCATGTTCCCTTTACCTTCTTCCTTCTTTTTTAATTCCATTACTGCATAGAGGTGTTGTGCGGAATTAACTAATTAACAGAACATTGATCTAAAATAAAGAAGAAGAAGAGGAGGTGGAAGAATTAATGTTGTTGGCCCAGCCTGACCCACGAACATAGCTGCAGAAGGTATCTTATCTTCTGTTCTGCACGAGTGCATTGGGCCGGACTGGGCTGCACAGTATTCTTCAAGTGCCTGAGATTTCTAATCTGATACATAAATCAATATAAAATTAAGGTGATTGATAGTTGATACCCAAACCTCCGAGTCCTCGCCCATAAAAAGAGATAGAGAGATGTATGTATAATACATTATATGTCACGGAACATTCTGTGTTGCACTGCTTCTCATTACTCCTAACTCCTAAGCAGTTGGCTTGCTGTAGTGTCTAAGCAACTTAGACGTAGAATATTGAAACCAAACCTCTCCATTGTTGGCAAAGCTCAACCTCACAAATTAATATGCTTAATCCAACAATAAGGCCATCAAAATGACAACTGGGGGCGCTTTTAACCAAAATCACTACTTCCATCTGAAATGGCATATTCCCAATCCCAAATTGCATCAAGTTTGATTTTTCGTCGGCATTTGGCTGCACATGCAATCTGTCATACTATAAAACAAAATGCATGCACTATATATATATATATATATATATATATTTAATGTTAAATTACGAATTCAATTAGGCCCCACAAACTCTTACCCTGTTTCGGCTGATATATGTATGAGAATGAGATGGGGTGAACCCCAGAATCCCACACCGCTGAGCCTGTGACTGGTCGTCTATGTCACCTCTATTATGCGCCACCAGCCCACCACCTTGTGCTATTATTAGCCATATTAATTTGTTCAGATAGCACAAATTAGGAATAGCTTTATTTTGCCACATGGCAGATACGGTTTGGTTTAACATTTGCAGGCTCACAAATATGTAGAGTGCAAAATTTTGTATTTTGTATTATTTTATATATATTTATATTTATATTCTTTTTAAATTAAGCCATTATTTGAATGAAATATAAATACAAATATGTAGAGTATAAAATTTTACATTTTGTATGTATTTATATTATACATTCTTTCCAAACTAAGCCTTAGGAGCAAACGATAGATGGGGCACCAAACAATTTTGAGGCTTTTGAGCCCTTCTCAACCAGTTGTGTGGCAGTGGTTCATAGTGTCATCTGAATGTCTTCATAAAATGCCTTGTCGTGCAAAACCTCTTTCACAATTCCAGTATTATATGTAAATCAAATGAGCCAATGCCAATTGTTGAAAAGCTCCAACTTCATCAGTTGTGTTAGACAAGTTGATATTGTCTCTCTCTGCTAAGAACTATATAAACAAGTCCGTCTACAGTCTCCCACTAGCTAGTATATCCCATAGAGGGAATAATTATGAATCACGAGTAGATTACTAATACATCATACTGATCAAACGTCAATTTCTTATGCAATCAACATATAACAAACAATACCGGATCCACTAGACACAATATAGGAATCACATTAGTTGAGTACTTTGTAAATATTATGACAATTATTAAAAGTTGCCTTAATCGTTTTTAAGGATAGGTTGACGGTATTTCAAAAGACAGGTATTAAAAAAGGGTAAATTATAAAGACCCTCATGTATTATAGGGTATGTGACAAAGACCTCCCTATACTTTATTTTGTGACAAAGACCCCTGCACTATGATCATGAGACAAAGACCCTTTTTCGTTAGCTTTCCGTCTAAAAATGTTGTTGCAATATTTTTTAATCCCCATATTACCCTTGTAATAACTATTCTGACAATGGGGAAAAAACATTGTTCATCTTCTCCAACCTTACTGATGATGCGCAATCCGGCCGGTCATAGCTGTCAGCGATCTTGCCTCTGAACCGAGTGACAGGGAACCTGAAACGGAGGAGATGAGGAAGCTCCGGGGAGGACCTGGTGTAAAGGCTCCGAAGCTTAAGTTAGAATCCTTCAAAGGCAAGATAAACCAGATAGCGCAAAGTTTGCATACCTCCTCTTTGGGGGTGGAGCG